AGCACATCTGTCAATATGTGAAATTCATACCAAGATACAAGGTGACCAACACACAAACACAAACAAAGAAACAAACAAGGAAACAAAGAAACAAATAAACAAACAATCAAACCACCAACGAGGATCATCGAAAGCAATACTTATCGTGTCGACTAGAAGCATTATCTGAACTTCTGCTTTAACATGGAATTCAACTGGTTTTTTTGTTTTAACTGGACATAAGTTGATTCTAACGCGCGCTCTTATTGGCTGATTCAAGCACGGTAAGGTGGCAATGGCTAACTCTGAATGTCGCTCGGTGAGCAACAGTTAAGCAACTTTCGCCCACTCTCCCATTAACCAGAGGTTACTTTGGCTTAGGGGTAACTCCTATTGCCTCATTAGTTTACACTAAAATTTAGCTTTCTGAGAATACAATTTTAAAATTACTGGCCCCTTGGGAAGCAGCTACATGTAGCTCTGTATTCCTTCGACAGATTAAAACAAAACTAACTGTAATGGCGCGAACACTTGTATATAGCATGTATATTTTTAAAGAAGCGAAGCAGACTGAGGCGATTTTTTTAAAAAAAATTAATTTATTTATTTATGATGAGAGCCACGGAGATAGGATATCTAAAGTTAAATTCAACTGAGAGAAAAATAATAACAATAATAATGACAATAAAATAATAAAAACAATAGAAACACTTAGGAAAACCTGAGCCAACATTTAGTCAAAGAGTAAACTAGAAAATTCAAAAACTTCCAAAAATTTAGAATGTAAAATTCAGAGGCATTTCAAAATTTCGAAAATTTAAGGTGGTTCTGAAACCTATCGACATAATGTTGGAAAAAGTTGTATTTTAGAATGCTTATCACAATTCAATATAATAAAAAATGGGTCTGACTAAGCCTTCTTTGAATTATATGCACTTAAAGGTAAAATTAAGGGTCTTTTTAACAGGTTATATCGTTGCTATGCAACCTATTATTTCCAGAGGATGACCACAACTTGTTAAGCAATGATTGAACATTTGTTTGCTATCAATATAATAACATCACTTGTTAAATTGTTGTAACATTGACCTGTCAAAGTATTACTGCTGGAAAAGTGCTGGAAACTGTTGCCGCTAGCCTTAAAAGCGAAGTGTACAGTCGCCCAAAACGAATCATTCGTAATAATACGGAAAATGCTTAAATATTACTCTTACTTATGGAGTGTCATCGAGTCGCCAGCCGTGCCACTGTATCCTCCAATCAAAAGCCGGTACTTATCTGCCTCGTCTGCCACCTTAAAAGTCGTGTACTCAGCGTATGTTTTGTTCCCATCGAAGTCTTCCAGGTCAACTCTCAGTATGGTGTCATCAGTGGCTGTCAAACGGTGAAGATTGTCATTTCCAAGCCAGAACTCGCCTTTCAGATCTCCAAACCCGTTTTTGTAGGATTCCCAACCAAGATAGAAGTCAACAGAGCCGTCTAAACGTCGCTGAAAAACTGTCCAACCTCCACCATCCGTGGTCATGTCACACAACACTTGTATTGGTTTGCCGCCATCTAGACTAATTGCGTACACGCCACTGGATATCAAACCAAATTGAATGAGTTTGGAACAGCTTTTGATGGGCTCTGTTAAAGCAAGAAATAAATAATGTCATTTCCTTATTCAAAAACTATATTCCTGCATGCCAAGTTCTTACGTACTGCAAGGCGTTCCTATGAATCCATCATTGCACTTGCATTGCACGGTGTCATCTTGATAGTTGGGGATGCAGATTCCTTTGTCACCACAAGGGGAACTGTCCGTCTCACAGGTACTCTGTGTAAAATAATTATTGATATTTTAGTTTTGCTACCTTCGCTGTTATCATTATGCTCTAAGAAAGCTGGATCTTCCGGTATTTTCTGATTGCTTGGTCTAATTGAAACTTAGAAATGTCAGATTTTGTGGAAGGAGTAAAACCGAAGGACAAACTGAACAAACTCGACCCATTGATAGGATGGGAGCCCACTGCGCGAAGCTTGCTTTCCCCTTTTAGTGAAATAAAGCTATATTACTTAAATTGTCTGATATTGTTTGATATGGATTTTATTTTGTTCAATTCATCCTAAAGACAAAGTTTTTATGCAGAAATTTAGGGTGTTAGCAATCATGAAAGACCATTCATTTGGTTGTAAGTTAAATTTCAAATGTTTTAAAAAATTGAAATTTATTTTTACCTGGCGTCCTTTATAAATAAACTGTTTATCTTTGGTGAAGTTTGCAAAGCCAACAAATCGATCTGAGTCGCTCAGTTGACACCTGAATATTTCAGCGTTTTTCTTTGTAGTATTTGTGCCATTGGTGGGTCCAAAGTTGTAAGACTGGCATTTCTCTTCACCAACACACGCAAGCTGACATGAAAGTTCAGAATCAACTTCTATTTCCTTGATCACGCTTCCATTGAGCTTATATCCCGCTATTGCTTTTGCAAAGTTGACAGCTTTCAAATCTGGCTGTGAAATACGGCTAATGCCGTACACAGTCGTGCAGACAAGGGTTAGCATCCAGAGATGCATGTTCTGTAGTTTTCTGTCTTCACAGAGGAACGCTTGATAAAGTGCGATGAAAGCATAAATGTTTTAATTAAAGTGGAATAATTATAAGGACGTAATTAAGCATCTGTTGATCTAAGTTTGCGGAGAGATAGCAGGTGCAGGAAAGTGTATCACTTAGGAACACGATACCATTCAAATGTGGGAACTCGTGCTTTGCTATAAATGGTATTTGCAAAAATAATTCCTTGCAGTGCTTGCTTTCGTCTCGGTTGTAGAATACTAATTTCTCAATTTTTTCCAGCATTTAATAAAGTTAAACATAACAAAATAAAACTGTGACATGAATATTTTTCTGTTTTTAATTAATAAACTAATGGCATCTTTGGTAAATCGCCTTTTATTTATGACTAAAGTTATCGTTTTAAAGCTGAGTTTTGCACAAAAATGCATAACGGTGACCAGGCATTTTTCACATATGGAACAGAACTTATTAAATTTAACTCATTTTTGAGTTCAACCTAACCTACGTTTTAGTTCAGTGGCTCAAAATAAGACAAAATAATCAAAACATGTAAACATTGCCTTGCATAATAGCCCTTTTCACCATTATTTTTTCTTATTTGCATCATAATATGTGAACGGAGGCAATTTCTGGTAATTTTACAGGTCCTATCTGAACCTTCCTCACATTTTCATTGAATTTTATAGCAAAGCAAAAAAGAAAAATTTACGGTGAAAAAGGCCTCACTCCTTTTTTTAACAAGAATACCTTTTTCCGGCCCAGTCCAAGTATTCTTATTTTTCTGCCGATTATAGGCTAAAAATATTCTCGTAGATATTCTAAGATTATTCAAAGAAATACAAAGTGAACTATGCTGACACAACGTCTGATTATCTATCCTATAATGATTTTATTGACGTTGAAATAATTTAGGAGGTAGACTTCAGACAATTCAGTCTGAATAGACACACATAACGTCTTGCAGAAATGTCATTAACATCGAACATGCGGTTGGTGCTGAGATTGTTTTTTTTTTTGGCTAGTTTTGCAGTTTAAAGAAAGAAAGAATTTTATACGGTTTAGTTTAAAACATATGACCATAGTATTGTATTTACAAATTTTCCAAACACAAAATCATATTCTTTTCAAATTCCCAACAGCACCCTCAGGTGTATCATTAAAATATTCTTAGAATTTATCAAATTTCATCTTCGATATGTTGTTATAAAATATGTTCTTATAAACAGTATCAAAAAGTTTTCTCACAATACACAGCGGATCTTGGTTACATGTTGTCCCTTTTTATTGTTCTAATAGTTGTAAATATCATATTTTTAGAGTTAAAGCGAAATCTAAGAGTAAGCCTTTTTACAGCAGCACTGATATTGCCTGGCAATACTAATGCACTGCAAATATAAACAAGGTATTACAAAAACAGGTTGGTGTCTTGTTTCAAATTGCCCGAAGCAGTTATTAGCTGATGTTTTTGAATAACGGAACAAAAGACAGGTAGTAAGTTTGGCGCCGGTTGTTTTAAAGTGGAATGATAAGAACATTTTCTTTTTTTCGTAAGTTCTTCTTTCGCATAGAAAAAAAA